TGGTCTTGAACTCCTGACCTCAAATGATTTGCCTGACTTGGCCTCCCAAAGTGCTGAGATTACAGGCATGAGTCACTGCTCCCGGCCTATTGGACTTTAATTGAAGGCATTCAAATAGTTTTATATCCTAACCAGGCACTGTGGCTCATGCCTATAATTCCAGCATTTTGGGAGGCTCAGGTGGGAAGATCACTTGAGGCCAAGAGTTTGAGACCAGCCTGGCCAACATGACAAAACCCTTTCTCTACTAAAAATGTCAAAAATTAGTCAGGCGTGGTGGCACGTGCCTGTAATCACAGCTAGTCTGGAAGCTGAGGTATGAGAATTCCTTGAATCCAGGAGGCAGAGGTTGCAGTGAGCTGAGATTGAGCTCCTGCACTCCAGCCTGGGTGACAGAGACTCTGTCTCAAAAAAACCACCACCACCACCAACAAACACAAATAGTTTTATACCCTTATTGCTGAGTCTGTGCCATATTAGGAACGTGGAACAGTAATTTAAAAATAACTTTTGTTCTTCTTCTTTCATCTCCCACCCTTTCCCTTTTCTTAGGCTCAGTACTGGCCAGTAAAATGGGAGGAGGAATGGGGATTCTATGAGCTTTGGATTTTGGGACAGGTAGAAGCTCTCAGTATGTCTGTGGGACACTGAGCCTGGTCAGGGGCTTTGGTATAGTGAGCAGAGGAAGAAAGTAAAATGTGTGAGTAAGGAATTTATATGAATGTTTGATTTAGCAGTAGCTATTTACAAACTGTCATTCCCCCTTTTATTCCCCATCTTGAAGCAATCAGGCTATTTGTATGCTGGAAAGACGAGAGAAACCTTCACCAAGCATGTTTGGTGAGCTGCTACAGAATGCCAGCACCATGGGGGATCTGCGGAACTGTCCAGTGAGTTAAATCAGGAGTGGGGTTTGGAGTGGGAAAGGGAACCATTGATCAGTGGAAATGAGGCAAAGCCAGTGGGAAACAAGTTTAACTAGCCTTATATATGTATTTCAGAGCAACTGTGGAGAGAGGATCCGGATTCGCCGTGTATTGATGAATGCTCCACAGATTATCACGATTGGGCTTGTATGGGACTCAGACCACTCAGACTTAGCAGAAGATGTTATCCATAGCCTGGGAACCTGCCTTAAGCTGGGTGATGTGCGTGTTAGTTATCTTTATCTCTGACTTTGAGTTTTTGTGTCTTGGTATTGCTTAAGAGCAGTGAGCACTAGACAAATAGGTATGTCCTAGATGACAAGTATTATGTTTTGGACAGATAAACTGGTTTATTTGTGTACAAATACATGTGCATGCAGATATGTGCCCATATACCTCCTTTTATAGGTGGCAAAGATTTTTTAAGAAGAAATGGGATGTCTTGGCCTTGAAAGACAGGATAGGCAGAGCTTAGCTACTGATAAAAACAAATCAGTAATTCATAAAGTTATTGTATGTTCTATTCATTGTTAGTTTATGTGAGTATAGAGTAAGGAAGGGTATTCAACCATGGGAGGCAGTAAGGTCAAAAGAGGGGGCATTTCTGACTAGAACTGCTATGGTAGGTAAAAGAGTTAAAAGTTGGTGACCTGAGCCCAAAAATATGAAATTCACAGTGTGAAACCAGTGTCTGTTGAGAAGGTAATGAAGCAGCTTGGAAGATAATTTAGTGGCTTAGTGGTTTTCTGTACATCTTATTCAGGGAAATACACAGGGAAAAGGCTTCAGACCTGGGTTCCTACCTTGTCATCTCCATGCCCTGGTATAGGTACAGCTAGGATTTTCCTTCAGTTAAAGAGACACACTAGGAGGCTGGGCATGGTGGCTCACGCTTGTAATTCCAGCACTTTGGGAGGCCAAGGTGGGTGGATCATGAGGTCAAGAGTTCAAGACCAGCCTGGCCAACACAGTGAAACGCTGTTTCTACTAAAAATACAAAAATTAGCTGGGTGTGGTGGCAGGCACCTGTAATCCCAGCTACCCGGGAGGCTGAGGCAGGAGAATCGCTTAAACCTGGGAGGTGGAGGTTGCAGTGATCTGAGATTGCTCAACAGCATGCCTGCCAGGGTGACAGAGCCAGACGCTGTCTCAAAAAAAAAAAAAAAAAAAAAAAAGGTTATGTGCTATATGATCCCATTTATATACTATTCTTGAAATAAAATGATGGAGACGAGAGAAGACATTAGTGATTACTACAGGTTAGAATTAGGATTGGACGGATAAGGCTCTAAATGGGTAGCATGAGGGAGCCTTGTGGTGATGCAACTGGTCTATATCTTGATAAAATGGCATAGAGCTTATACATACACACACACGAATGAATATGAAACTGGTGAAATCTGAATAAGCTCTGGATTCTATCAATGTCCATTTCCTGGTTTTGATATTGTACTATAGTTACGTAAGATGTTAATATTGGAGGAAGCTGGGTGAAGAATACAGGGGGTCTCCTGTACATTTTTGAAACTTGTTATGAATTTATAATTATTTCAAACTAAAAAGTTAAAAAAATCAAATTATTCCTACCTTCCAGAAGGGTTGCTTTTTCTCTGGGTAAGCTGCTTACCAATTTATGTACTTGTCTGTTAAGTATTGTTGGTGTACTGCTTTTGTTCTTTCCCTATCAGGAAAACCTCCTGATGAGAATTCACTTCCACATTGCTGATGAAACCAAAGAGGATATATGTACTGCCCAACACTGCATTTCTCATCAGAAGTTTGCAATGACATTGTTTGAACAGGTGAACTCTTATCTCCATCTTTCGTTAGACCTTTTCTTCAAGAACGCTTTATCCTGGGCTGTGGGGTGTTAACTGGGTGCCACAACAGTTCCTGATTATGGTTGCTTGTTTTTGTCTTTTTCTCTTTGGCTCAGTGTGTATGTACTAGCTGTGGTGCCACTTCTGATCCACTCCCTTTCATCCAGATGGTACATTATATCTCCACCACTTCCCTCTGGTGAGTCTTATAGGGTTTTCTGTTGTGCCTTTAGGTATTCCTCTAGTTGTTTGGACTCTTTTTTTTTTTTTTTTTTGAGATGGAGTCTTGCCCTGTTGCCCAGGCTGGAGAACAGTGGTGGTACAGTCTTGGCTCACTGCAACTTCCACTTCCCATGTCAAATGATTCTCCTGCCTCTGTCTCAGCTACT